AGGCGCATTAATGGGAATGGAACAAGGGAAAAGTACAGAGTAAGTAGAACAATAAAAATTATATAAATAAAGGCTCTGGAAGAGTCCAAGAACATATGTATTGTGGTGTGACTAACAAAGACCCATTACCTAAACCTTTCTGATTTTTTCCTTACCAAATATGTGTACTCAAGAATTGGGATATCAATGGCTGCAGAACAAAAATGGAAATTATACATTTAATATATTAGAGAGAAGTAGTAAACATTGGAATAAGAATTAAATATAAGAAGGGGATTTGTTATGCTATTATGTATGGATAGAGTATGGATATTATGTATGGATAGAGTATGGATATTTGAATATGTATAAATTGTAATTGTTGTTGCACAACATTATTTGTACCGATACATTGTTTAATCAAAAGATGGATTGTTTGTATATAATAAAAATAAAAAATAGAAAAGAACTGGGATAAAAGTTTTAAATCAGAGTTTTATGGGAATATTGTATAAAGCTAATTCATCCTGTCTGAAGTCTCTGGATTTATTCACAATCAATGCATTAGAACAGGGGTCGCCAACCTTTTAGACCACAGGGACCACCAAACTCGTAATTATAAATCCCATGGACCACATCCAGCATGCCGCTTGCTGAAGCTCCTGGACTCCCACTGATGGGATGGGGTCCTTCAGGCACTTAGCTTGGCTGCCTGTTTCTGCAACCTTATATACTCAGAGTCATTTGGACCCGTTTCCCACAGAAAACAAAACACTGGGATTTCTCTTGTATCTCTTTCCCTTCCCTCCCTTTCTCCCTCTTTCTCCCCCCCACCCCCGTCCCTGGGGGTGGGGGGAAGGGAGCCTCTGAACTGTGCTGGGTGGTGGGAATCTGATGTCTGGAGGCCGACAAGCCACGGGCTGTAGATGGCTGGTGGGGTGGTAGGACTACAGGGGATGATACTGGTGGCAGATGGACTGAGGCACGTGGGGAGGGAGGGTAGCACGCAGATCACGACATTGGAGCCCTTCCCAGGTGTTCCCTGGCCTGCGAGGGAGTGGAGATGGGGGGAAAGGAATCTCTGAACTTGTGTTGCATCCTGCCTCTGCGCATTGAGGAGGCTGAACAATGCCCAGCAATGCCCTCAGGTGAAGATGTTGCGAGAGGGAGGCTCAACCCTTACCCTCAGGATCAGCAAAGTGCTCACCACCCCTCTGGCACCCGCCAAGCTTCCTCCTTCCCACTGGGCATGTGAGCGCTTCTGGCGAGGAGGAAGAGAAGCACGATGGGAGGAGGCTTGGTGGCACCCGTTGCAGACACAGGTGCACTGCGGACCACCAAAATTTTCTCACGGACCACCAGTGGTCCACGGACCACTGATGGGCAACCTCTGCATTAGAAGACCAATACCAGTTAAAGAAACGCCAGCTGTGATTTTACATTGTTGAGTTATATAGTAATAATTTGTTAAATTTGTATGTCGTCTGACTCTCAACTCTAGGTGGCTTTTGTCCCTTTGTAAATGAAGTAAATTGAATACTTTGCAGAGTCCACTCCCCCAAGCCAACTGCTGATTTTTTTAATGAAATCCATGAGCTAGTGTTTAATGATGTGCTTCATTTTTTTTTTAAATATAAAAGGTGTCCTTTTTGAAATCATTAATAGAAAGTTCAACAAAATGCTGTTTCTGAAATGAACATTTCCTAAACATATCCAGCAATGAGCACAACTAGATTTATTTTCCCTCCAGTGTCCTTGAGAGTTTCCACAGTGTGAGTTGGTGGTAAAGGACTATGGCTTACAATTGATGTGCTGTAAGAGATCCATAAAGGTTGTTCATACCTTGCAAAAACCCTGCTCTCTGCTATTATGCACCTATTATTCCATGAAGGGATGGGAGGAGAGACAATGACTTCCCAAACCTGTTTGAATGAAAACATCTGGCCACTGCCACCTGCACAGTGATCTGGCTCCTGCCTCCCAGCTGAAAACATTGCATTTTTAAAAAAGTTAATTATAGGATTAAAATGTATTTTTGAAAGACACAATCTGTTTTCCTGCCTAAAATTAGTATTTTCTGTAATTTGCAATGCTTTAATCTAAAAAAGTCCACAAAGCTCAGTAAAAACATACAAATTAAGCTTCTTTTCAGGCAAGCGAAAGACTGCACCCCTCCAGTCATACTCCAGTCTCTCTTCTGAACATGCTCAGAACTGCTACCATTCGAATTTATTTTCTCCAGGAGAATGAAGGTTAAAAGTCCATATGAACATCTGAATTCTGCCCATGAGGCTGTATCTAGCCAGATACACTGGCACTGTATTTTGGGAAATAGGAAACAATTCTATCATTCATTAAGAGACTAGCCATAGGTCCATTTTTAAAATTTAATTGGCTTCAAACCTTGTTATATACAAAGCTAATTTGACAATCATTTTATGTACAAAATATGCAAGCATTTTAAAAAGGTTTAAATTACAAATCCTACAAAGTGCAATTTTTAAAACATTTCTCACCATGTTGTACAGAAACCAGTTCACTGTTAGCTAATATACATACATACAAGCTTAAAATCATTAAACGTTAAATAGAATATTATTTAATCTTAAAAGCACCAGAAATAAAGAAAAGATATTGCACAAAAGATTGAGAGCTAGGTTTTAACATTCCATGATGGCTAGGTAAAATTTAATTATATCAAAACACTTCCATCTAAAATTTGAAGGCATTTTTGGCATTTAAAGTCAAGATTGTATTATTAGAATAATCAGCATTAGATTATTTGCCCTCATATATAGAAGGCTTCGTGTTCTTTTTACTTTTAAGTGTGATGTTTTAAGCAAATGCAGAGGTACTGGTTAGGTGTAATGTTGCTATAATGTGCTATCCTCTGACTGTTCAGCATAAGCACAGTCCTGGAAAAACTGAGCAAATATTTAGAAAGGGTTGTTGTTGTTTTTAAAAAAGCCTGATTTAAATACTGAGAAATATTAATCCTGCACTTTTCTGATATTCAAATGTATGACACTTGTAAGAAAACATTAAAAGTTAATTAATATACTAAGAGTCTTTTTTCTAAAGACAGCCAAGATAGCAAGCATCCATCCATCCAGTTACTAGGTATCAAACTCAATTCAAAGGCACCAGTTAGAGCACCAGTGGGAACACCAGTCAGAAGAATACCACAGAATGCATATGTATAATTTTCAGATTTAAGCCCACAATCATTCCCACCATGCTCTGGTCCTAGGCATGTCTCCTTGGAACTAGGGAGACAGCTAGACATGAGTGTTGCAGACACCTGCTCCCAACAAAATATTTGAGCCAAGATAACAGAGATTGATTGACTGATTGATTCTGGGGCCTCCCTCACATGCTATGGAACATCATCAATTCTGTAGTATCTTTGGAAACAAAATGTGAATTTGTATTATAGTGTTTTAGTACACCATTGAATCTATTTTTAGAGTTGATTCCCATAAACAACATCTTACAAAAAGGAAATATTAATTTGCATTATTTTTTTGGGGGGTGTCATTCTCTATACTAGTAAATTATCACCAAAACTAATGCAAATTAATATTTGCTTTTTGTAAAATGTTGAGAGAATGACACCTGATATTTCATATATTTTTGTTACAACAGATATTAAATCCATTTTGAGACACTTTCTGCATCCTAAAAGAAGTACATGAATAACTATATAAAATACAGTTACTAAAACAAGAGTTAAAATTACTAATTGTCAAAACTATTCTTAGCCTTATATAGCAAAGAGCCCAGAAAATCTTTTGCACATCTTGAATAAATAAATAATCATAGCGCATTTAGAAAGGACATTTGGATGGCTTCCGCTACCAGATTTTAATAAAAAACCATTTTTAAAATGTGGTTATTTTTGAATATACACTAACATTTCATTTTTTAAATTATAAATTATCTCCAAGAAACCAAAATGTTCTGTAGGCTCTGGTAAATAGCTGAGAAATTTCTAGCAAGAGGCTTTTTGAAGCTCATATAAGAGAGCTTTATATAGAAAATATACATTATTTTCCTGGAATGGATGTCTTCTAATTGGCTCACTTGAAATCTCTCTGAAATTTTAAACACATTTCAAAATATATACATATCAAATATACAATTGCAAAACCATTAATATAATGCCCTAGAATATCCTTTACATGCAGTCCATATTTAAATCTAGCATCTAGATGCTTTTACAGAAATGGTTCAGTCTGCAACATTGATGAATAATCTTTCAGTTTTTAAATTCTCACAACCCAACTTCACGTCAAAAACATCAAATGCTTTTTGATTATCTTTGGTAATGCTAATGTTTTCTATTCCAACTTTCTCATACATCTTTTAACATATTTTGAAGTTCAATCTTGTGTGACCTTTCGTTAGACTCTTCTATAAGATTGTTGAAAAAGTCAAGTCAACTTTCAGTAGAGCTCCTGGTGACTTCATAGATATATCTATATCACTTTCTTGGCAACAATTCAGAAATAGCTTGCAGTTCCCTTCTTCTGGGCTGTGCTTTCAACTTCCTTATCTACTTCACAACTCTGGAGTTCCCACAACTACTTCCATCTATGTACTAAACAGTCCAGACTCTGCTTAACTTTAAGATTAACCCCAAGTCTGCTTTTTGCCCACAATTATTTTACACTCAAAATTAGTAAAATATAACATTTTTCCAGAACATTCTGCATATCTCCTTAAATATTAGTTCCGTTAACTTCAATTAGTCTTATCCAAGGAAAAGATTGAAGCTTAGACTACAGAAAGATATTTAAAAATGTATGTATCTAAGCAGAATAAAAGACAATACAGTCTTTGAAGAAATAATAATAAAAATGAATGATCTGTATCGGTGATACAGTCTACAAAATTTCAACCCAAAATTAAGGGTTAACTTTTCTTGTGTTTCTCTTGTAGTTCAACTTTTGAGCCTCAAAGGAACCAGGAGAAAGTTATAAATCCACCTCCATAAGGTGTATATGGCACACTAGAATATTCATGTACTCTGCTCTTGATAAGCCTGCAATTTTTCTTACAACAGTGAACATAAAAAGGTATTATAACAAAAAGATGTTTTTCACTTGAGGAATCAGAAAATTGTCAACTCAAAGACTTTGCAACCAAGGCTAAAACTGCATCATTTTCCCATTACACAATTGCCTATATTTAACATCCAATTTGTTTAAAAATAAACCCTCAGGATTACAATTCACACTGTGCAAAATAAAACCTGGAGAAATACAGAGAAGATATATATTTGTAGCATCTCTTATTTACATTTTCCAGCACTGAAATAATTTGTACAGTTAAGAAATGTTATTATACCATAATTCTGCATAATTCAGTTATAAAAATGATTACCATTTACAGCATAGAACTGGTAGCTCTTTCAGATGTGTAAGATGAGATTCAATCATGTGTATATACACTGGCCCTTAAAGAACCAAGCAAAGCTGCTAATCTACCATTTTCTGACCAAAAGAACTATCTATACATGGTATCTCCCTCTCCCTGCTATTGCAAATGTAAAATCAGGAGGACTATCCCAATGTTTTTATGCATGGAGTACATTAATGTATTAATACTCAAATTTAATATTTAGCAGGAAAAATGGTTTCAGTTACCATTTAATAATACTGAATCAGATACCCTGAAGAATGAAACTTCTGTGCTAAATCCCACAAAATTAAGAACTCATCTGTTGGTCCTCTATTTTTGTCATTTATGTTCATATATTAACCATTCAACTTGCACCTTCAACCTGTTCAACAGATCTACTTTCAGAAAGCTGACTTCTGAGTACAGCAAATTGCACTGACAGCCACCCATTTCCCACCTTAAATAGGTGAGTTTAAATAAATTTCTCTTTCAGTTTCCAAGAGCTAGAAAGGCATTGGTTTTTTTAAAAAATAATTGTTTTGTTGATTTATATAGTTAAATAATGTATAGAGACATTGACCAAGATCCAGAAGACTCCTTTTGTCAAGGAGGACATAAAAACTAGATCTCTAATTCTTTTTTGGCATGACAGCAACTACTTCTCCAGTGGCCAAGGCCACTTTGAACACAAACTGTGAATTCTATTATGCCAAAACAGCAGCAGGTTATGTAAAGGAGGGTACAGAATAACGTTATAATGAATAGCCACATAATTACTGATTCGGACATTTATGTCCAACTGTCAGTAATTACAAGCAAATTTAGTGACTGTCAAAATATTTTACATTGTTGATAGTTGTTAAATCTACTGGTTTGTCATATGTCAGTTAAATTTTCAGCATTCACTTTAAAATACAAACATATACACCCATACTTACAATCTGTCTGTCTGTCTGTCTGTCTGTCCATTTATCTATCTGTGTATCTATCTATCTATCTAATCTCACAATCAGTGGTGGTATTCAGCAGGTTCTGACCAGTTCTGAAGAACTGGTAGCGGAAATTTTGAACAGTTTGGAGAACCAGCAAATACCACCTCTGACTGGAGATTTTACAGTATCCTTCCCCTGCCACGCCCACCAAGCCACGGCCACAGAACCAGTAGTAAAAAAAAATTGAATCCCACCACTGCTCACAATGTGTTTAAAAAGATTGAATTAGCTTATTGCTTCTACTTCACACAACAAAATAAGTGTTGTATACTAATATACATATATGCCTGTAGAAATTGTGCTGTAGTTGCAATATAACTGAGAAAGTTGGGAGGCATGATTGGAAGATTAAATAAATGTATGAATCCCAAAAGATGATAGTAGCAGATATCACATGGAATCTTGAGTATTATATTCAGTTTCTCCAGATGAAATCTGACTGATCCGTTTGCTTGAACCCCACAATTTTCGGGAGAGTTGGCCAGCACGCATCTGTTTAAAGTAAGCCAGAGACACAAAAAGGAAGGGGAAAGTGGGATAAGGGGGATAAATTAAATAAAAACTTCAGATGGTTCTACAGAAGCGCAGACAGCAAAAGATAGAGCACATATACACAACACAACGGCAATTTATTTCTAAAGTATTTCAGTGTTTGGACAATCCTAAGGAAAACAAATAGAGGGCACAAAGTGGAATTCTCTCAAATACATTGTTAAAGAGTCAAATTGTCAAGTGATTTTAAAGAGGCATCCTTGAATGCCCTAAAAAGCTTTGTAGGCTGAAGAAAACAGAATTTATATATCAAGATTATGGTGCCTTTTGTCGCTATTTGGTTTTAAAATATAAACAGAAAAGAACTTCTATAAAACAATCAATTTTGTTTAAGGTTGCAAACTGAACAACCTCACTAGGCAGTCTTCTAAATATGTTTCGGAGCTAACGCTAAATGAACACATAGTCTTTACACCATATGTTTAGAGGTAAAACACTTGACAATGTTTGAAAAATAACAGCAAAAACAGGGAATGGAAGAAGAAAATTATTGTGGTGGGAAACCTATACATTAATCTTAATCAGTGCAAACAGTTAGTGTTAAATGATGCAATTTATAATGCAATAAATAAGTAAATAAATAAGAAAGACTCAAAACCTAGGTCAGCAATCAAATGACCTGGCTGGGTTGTGCAATTAAAGGCATACTAGTTTTGTGGTAAACAACACACATCTTTTTGGCAAGTAAATAATTTAACTAATCATGATAATAGTGCAACATTTCAAAGTCTGACTTTGAATGAAGTCAAAGGTTGACTTTACCTTGACAACTTGAACTAAGAGAGTGAATGGCTTAGATATGTTATAACCTGGATATTCCAGAGATTTGAAAAGGGCTTAGACACCTCCCCCAATGTAACACTTGAGAGACAGCCTGCAAAGTTTTTATATCGTCCTCAATAAAACTAATAAGCATCAGTCATTTCCTGGTTTCTTCTGAAGAGGTTAATGCAGAGGTTTGCTTGAGTTAAGAAAATACTAGTAGGCATCTCTCCGAAATTAGGAGAATCATTTTCACAGACGCCATAATGCAGTATTCCATCAGCTCAGAAAGCCCAGTGGGTCATTGAAGGGCTTTGCTTCACTTGGTCTAGAAAATATTTTGGTGATATCCCTTTTGTGCTGTAGACTAAAGGAAATGCCCAATAAACACTGTATAATTTTAGTTGGCATCCAAGTAGTTTGCATCCACTCCGAGGATGAGAAGCAGTGCCCTTTGCATAAATCTAATTAACAACAAAAAGATGGATCTGTAATAGCATTTTTTTTAAAAAATGGAGTAGGAATGCAGCTAAGCAAAGCCACAATGGTTCCAAAGTAGCCCACTGTTGTCTATTCAGTGCTCTTCTAGAAGCTAATGTCATTCATTTTAAACAGTGGTGACAGGTTAATGTTGAGAATTAAGTATTAAATGGCAGGTGGCACTAAGCAGGTTCACTCCAGTTAGAAAGCACTCTTAGACATTCAGGCTAAGTCAATAAAATTTGTATGTTAGTTCAGCACCTTTCCCCCTGTGGGTTCCCCTCTACATTCCCTCTTTTTGTTGCATCAGTCCTGTTAAAGAACCTCTAAGAATGTCTTGGGAATTATTTCTTTCCTTTTGAAAGGTCAAATTTGCTTTGAAGTTTGCCCTGCCACAGAAGTGATCGCTTGCTCAGCCGGAAAGCAGAAATAAATGAGCTTCCCATTGTTCGGTAGATAAAGTTCTTGATGGTAGGTTTTACCTCTGCTGGCTTTCCAACACCAATGATAATCAACTTGCCATCATCGAGACCCACCAGAATGTGGCTGAACTCTTTGGTAACAGAGACACAGTGAATTGGCAGCCGCATGGCTAAAGGGGAGGAGCTAAGGCTCAGGCTGAAATAAAGAAATAACAAACATTGATTATTTACAGCAGACCAAAAAGCACTAAATGGGCAATTTATATTAAAAGATAGAAATTGCTGACATCTACCAGCAAGTCTTATGAAGCATTATGTACTGAGTTTCTAATTTGACACCTGTATCTAGGACATGGTGCACTACTCAAACAAAAAATATAACTTGTTTCTGTTCCCAATTGGCTGATACAAGGGAGTTCACTGAAAATCGAATAACTGTTATTGATTGGATTCAGATTCATGCTAAATAAAGCTAGTTGTGCAACATCTGCTCTTGACAGTACTTGTATCTCTCCCCCCACCCAATTTCTCAGAATTCTCCTCAAAAATGGTGTTTTGGTGTAGTGTGCGTTTGTATGAACTACAGAAGGAAATTTGGAATGGACAGTTGTCAACAATTAACCAGAAGTACCCAGCAGAACTAGAAAAGTAGCCACAGCAACTACCACAATATAACATGAAATAACGAACTCCACAACTTACAACCATTCATTTACTGACCATTCAAAGTTACACTTTGAATTTTATAAATTGTACTGAAAAAAGTGATTTATGACAATTTTTCACACTTATTACTGCTGAGAAGCTTCCCTATGGTCAGGTGATCAAAATTCAGATGCTTGGCAACTGGCATGTATTTATGACAGCTGCAGTGTCCCAGGGTCATATGTTCATCTTTTGTAACCTTCTGACATAAGAAGTCAATGGGGAAACCAGATTCACATAACAAGCATGTTACTAACTTAACCACAGCAGTGATTCACTTAACAACAGTGACAAGAAAGGTTGTAAGATGGGGCAAAACTCACTTAACAACTTTCTTGCTCAGCAACATAAATTTTGGATTCAACCGTAGTCGTAAGTTGAGGACTACCTGTATTCACTACGGCTCTGTCTAAACGTTTAGAGTGGAAAGACAAAAAGGACAAAACAGTAGTGACCAGCAATAAAACACAAATCAGGAAGTTGGCTCAGATTCAGATAAATTGTTTCCTGATATTCCGAAGCATGATTAGTAGTTAAAGGAATCATAAGAGCTCAAATTCGTAAACAGCACATAACTAACCAGCAAGGAATTAATTTGCTTCTTAGTATTCAGCATATGAGATTCCTTCTATATAAACAATAATAGTTGGTGGAGGAGGATCATAGACTATGAATTGAGAACTGCTGATTGATCGTAGGCCCTCAAGGACTGAAGTTGTCAACATTACAAGTCATTGGAAACTTCTTTTTCAAGCTTCCCTTTACCTGTAGAGATCTCTTATGGAGAGAAATCCCTGTAGACTCCCTATTACAATATACTCTCCAGTCACACAAAGATCCGACACTTCTTCCTTCAAGCTCTCAGAGCCCAAATACTTCCCATTCACAGAGTAGAGATGCAATGCATTCTTATCCTGGGCAGAAAATCAAAGAAACAATAAGAGAGGGAAAAGCCTTGAGCAACAACATTTCCCCATATAAATTTTAAATTCTGTAATAGTATTTTTTGTAGCACCATTATAAAAAGAAGCTGCCATGGCATGTAATCTCTCTTCAGGGTTTTGAATTTACATAAAATTTACATATACAAGTGTGGGAATATGTCTAGGTTATCAAATTTTGTAGATAGGGTGTAAGTTAGGGGTTGTTAATTTCAGATCCCATGGAAATTAAAATTTTGTATATGAGAATACAAAATCTTACAAAATGTGGTGACTTTGTGAAATTCTACCCATTTTTTTTAAGCAAATTTTATTAATTTCAAAGACAAACAAATCATCATCAACCATTACATATTTGAACCTTTTTCCATTATAAATTTTACAAGTCAGATAAAACCTTATTTTATACAATACAATTCTATTTTAAGCCATTTCCATATGAGCATAAAAATACCTCTTATCCAATTTCTCTTTACTTCTCTTTACTCTTATTCAATTTCACTATTATTATTTCATCTATTTCTTTCTGACTTGATTACCATTATTCTC